CTCTTATCCTGAGGCTCGGAAGCTATTGTTCCCTACTACACCTCGGACATATGCCACTGCACTACACTCCACTGCTACAGTGAGAGTGCAGACGGACCTTTCCGTGCTTCCATCTGAGTCTTTTTCATGCCATGTGAGAGCTCTTCTGCCCTCCATGGATAATAGAATTGATAGGTCTACATCTACTCCAATCTCTGTCCCCACTATTCCTTCCAGATGCTGCCTGGGTTAAACTTTTTGGGCACCAGCTTCTGGTGTCCGTGCGGGTCCTTCTTTTGCCCCTAAATGCAGGACGAACATTCGATCACGTCCTCAGTCATTGGATTCTCACTCTTATGACAGAGATCTGCCCACTCATTCAAGGGCAGGATCCATGAAAGTTCTAATCTCGATGACATTAAGGCCTTGATTGACTCCTATCATCCCGTGTGTCTCTCCTTACAGGAAACATTTCTGAAACCTGCCGATACAGTCACCTTTCAGCAGTTTTCTTTGTACCGGAATGACAGGTTGTGTGATGGGCGGGTGCACGGAGGGGTGGCACTGCTGGTTGACCAGCATGTGCCCTCCTTACCTGTGTCCCTCGATACAACCTTGGAGGCCATAGCCATCCATGTTTCCTTGGGTTGTGCCATCACTTATGACTTATGATCAATCGGACCTTGATGTTTTCGTTGACCAGCTGCCACCTCACTTTTTACTTGTGGGAGATTTTAATGGACACAACCCCTTCTGGGGTGGTGCTGATATTGATGGAAGGGGTTGCTCCATAGAGCATATGCTCTTGGATCACAACCTTTCTCATTTCAATACTGGAACATATACTTATTTTCATGCACATAGTCAGTCTTTTACTGCCATTGATCTCTCGATTTGCTCCCCCTCACTTTTCACTCGGTTTTTTGGATGGTCGACAGTGATCCATGGGTCAGTGATCATTTTCCTATCATTATGAGGGAGGTTGGCCATGGTCGATGCCACCCGACCCGAATGCCACAGTGGAAGCTGGACCAGGCTGACTGGCCATCTTTTACCTCTCTTTCCGAACTTGACCCTGCCTTCGTCTGTCTGCCATCAATAGACGACTGTGTGGTTGCAGTGACTGACTGTATTGTCCAGGCGGCTGTTCTCGTTTTCCACAGTATCCTCGTCCATGGTGGAGTCCTGCCTGCCAGGAGGCATGGAAGGCTCATAAACTGGCCTGGGATACCTTCCGACGGTATCCCTCTCTTTCTAACCGCATTGTTTATCAGCGAGCCCATGCCTATGCTCGGCAGGTTCGATGTCAAAGCCAAAAGGAGACTTGGATTAAGTTCACTTCTACCATTTCTTTTACCACCAGTTCAAAAACTGTATGGGACAAGATTCGAAAAGTCACTGGGAGGTATGCTTCCCATCCCCTTTCCATATTTCTCTCCAATGGCCAGGAAGTTGCTGTTGTCCAGAGCATTGCTGATGC